CTGTTAACCCATCAAGTCATCGAAGAGGAACAAACTGGGAGGGTTAACTGAGATATATTCTGGTGCTGAGACCTTGTTAGATAAATTCTCACTATGTCTATAAGACAGTTTGTCATATTATTTGCATTCTCTAAATCTTTGTTTAGAAGTAAAGTGTATTTTAGTTGTGATAATAAATCATAAGACAAACTATTTAGATTCATAGTTTTATTTTAAACATATTTTATTTTGTAATGATAAATTTTTAACGTATTTTAAAGCAGATCATAAACTTGATCAAAAATAGATAGTGACGTTGCAATTGCTTAAGAAATTAGGTTAAACGATAAATTAGGTTTACGATAAATCTTAGACTAAGATTAAAACACCTATTTTGTTGGTTTTCGCCAAATGTGTATCTGTTGAGGTTATTTTTGAAATTTATCCAATGGCCACCTTTCTAGCCACAATTCAATTGCTAAAAAGCCTAATGGAATATCATTGGCAATGTTCAAGCATCTGATCTAAGGACTTTTAAATCTCGATGCGACACAAATCTTTCTGTGTATGAATTTTCTTTGTCCGTCTATACTCTTTAGGTAACATTTTGACTTGGAGTCTATATGTCATCATAAATATGATAATAGGAAAATTTTAGGTGATATTTAGACCTGCTTTCCTTGTATCAATCAATGTGACCTTTGGATTCTAAAACTTCAAATTGCACTCGGGTTTACAGATTAAATAGAAATGTCCGAAAATTCTTTTCTAGAATGATTATTAAGTTGTGAACTGAAAACAGATTTAACACTGACTCTTCACGCAGCTGCCAGTGTTTAAAAATAAGATTAAATCTGGTACATATCCATTTGGTCCCATCACGCTTTTATCCAATTTCGGAGAGTAGCAACTTTTTAGAATGTAATCATTCTTCTAAAAGCAAAAGAATGACTGACAATGGATTTTAAGGTGCACTGAAACTGAGGTTCTAATTTATCCAAAGTATCAAAGGTTTTCACTTGAATATGAATCTAAATAAAACAATCATGTTTGAAGATAAACTCTGTCAGAAAATATTCTCATATTTACATATTTTGTGTTTATAGTGATAAACCATCTGAAATGAAAAAAAGTGTTTAATTAAGCCTCCTTTAATCGGTGCTATTCTTATACATCGTTGTAACTGGAGTGAAATTGGCATTATTGATGTTATTGCCAGTCACTTAATGAAAGCTTCGACTTTTGAAGTATACGGTATACAAAAAAGATCTAATTTAAAGAAGCTTTGTCTTAGCCTAAAATGAATGCCTTTTTCTATTCTATCTAAAAGAAGAAATTTGCAGGCAATGCTATTGTTACACAATTCTGAGCAGCTTTTCCTCTGTAGCATTTAATTAATTTTACATTTCTAAACTATCTTGTAGCATTTTTCAGCAACAAAATACCATGTTAATATTGTTTTAAAATTATCATTTCTATTTGTATGATCATGATATTTGCTATTTAGTTTATATTTCGTCTTCTCATTGTACATTGAAATCGTGATACCAAAGCTTTTATCTCAGAAGCTGGCTGCTCACTTAGATTCTGGTTTCAGATGCATGTCTGATGAAGATTGAAATTATGCTACCTTTTATTTTTAATGAAAATAAATGAATTACTGTAAATCAGAGATGACTTCACAAAATTGACCCTGTGGGGGAGGGGGGGGCTAAGAATCAAGTTTAGTGACATAGGAGGACCCACCATGGCTAAGAATAGTTTTGAAATTAGGCCTTCTAGAATGGCTAAAATGCATCTGCAAGACAAAATTTAACAAATTACTATACCGCTCAGAATATACAATTTGACGGTTCTCAGAAAAACATTGATAATTTTTTTAGGATAAATTTTGGGAGGCGATGAGTCATGCTAAAACTCCAGTGAAAGACATTGAGGGAAAGAGAGGAAGGGTGACCTTTTGTTTACAGTGCACACCAATGTGAATATCAAGAAGCTGTTGTATTGATTGAGAGAATTTTACTTTCTAAACAGGAACGTGCATCTTCTTTGCCTCGATTATTTTCAGTAGGCCATATTTACACATCCAAAATGCAAACATTGCAATGATACAGAAATTTATCTACTGAATTCATTTAAATAATTGAAATATAACAAAATGAGTTAGTGAATAGATCAAATTAAATCAAGCAGTAGATGATTTGTTCTTATTTCATTTCATACACTGTTATAAAAAATGATGAAAAAATACGGTTTTGTCTTTGAAAAAGCTTCAGCTACCCTCTCCAGCCCCCCAGTGGTGCCCTGCCAGTAAATTGAATGTTCCTAACTATTTGTATGATCACATTGAAATTATAAAGTCGTAGTACAAGCAGATAGGACTGGTTCATTGACAGTTGCGTGACAGATTCAAGTTTCTTTTTGATTTGTAATTAGAAACTAGAATTATTTGTATTCGAATTAAAGTAAGATTGCAAACAAAAACAAACTAAGAGCCGCAAACTTTATGGGGCTCTCAGCAGAAGATTTTTCTATATTATTCTTCTTTGAAGCTGGTATCCAGGGTATGAACTACGAGTTCAAGGGGCCCCAAACCTTTATGGTAAATGGAAAGTCTGTCGATTAAAATTCTATATTTTTTTCTTTAATGTTTTCCTTATGATCATAATTGTGAGCCTCAAACTTGTTGTATCTTTGAGGAATCTTTGAGGAACTGTAAAATCCTTAGATTTGCGGGCCCCGGCTGCCTCTATTACGCAACTGTTGATTGATACAATCTGACGTCATCATCCAATCAGCTTTCGTAATCAATCGCAACATTCTGTATAAATTCAAATCTTCGATCAAAGAATATCAGAAAATTATTTTCGTCAAAGAGAGAGGACTTCGGATTTACTTTTTGAGTGTAATACACGGTGGAATACATATTCCAATTGAATTTTGCTACTAAAATTGCTACAGTTGTCAACCGAGAAGCTGAAATGTGGTCGAATACTGGCGCTGACGAATGCTATGGCTTTACAAACGATGCAAATGTGCAGGAGACAAATCCTGAACAAAATGCAACGGAAGATCACACGGAATCGTATGAAAACAGCGACAGTTGGTCAGCGTATTATCAAAACTATCCATCCAACTTCAATGGAGCAGAGAACTACGGGTTTGCTGGCTGGGAGAATAACATCGACCCTCAAGGCATTTGGAATCAGAATAGCACATGGACAACAGAATCATCACAGAACCCTGAATCTTCTTGGCCTATGGATACTGACGAAGTTGGAAACGCAGAAATGTACAACGGATATTATGCTGAACCTCAGTACAGTTCCTGGCAAAACGAGCAACAAAAGAGAGAGATTATGTTCATGAGTTTCATGTGACAACTAGCAGGACAGCAAATCGTTATGCTTCTTTGCCCATCAAGCTTCTATCCAGCGTGTGACTACAGCATAATGATGAAAATCTGGGCGTAAACGTTCTTCCATGAAGAAGGAATCCACTCTACCTACGATCCAACCGGAGTTTATTGAGGTAACTGCCAAAAGGCTATATTTTGTTTCTAAGCTTATAGAAAGCAGTTCATAAATGGATATCCAGGACACACAAGTAAATAATTTTGGTATCTTCTATAGGAAATGAATGGATTTATCCTAGATAGAATGTTTCTACAATGTCTAATGCTAAACGTGTTCGATAATAAATATAAAAATGCAACATAGACTAAAATTGAATACAAACAGAGAGCGTGGAAGAATATGAAAGGTAAGCAAGATTTAAAAGTGAGTGGTTGAGTTTGTCTTGAGGGTAGACGAGAAGAGACTGTTTTCAAAACAATAAAACTCTCGATTTTCAATTTCTTTCAGATATTAGAAAAAGATACGCTCCTCCTCCAGTTTCTAGATGCAATATTATTCATACCAGATACTAATTATCGCTATTTAATAAATGGAAAGTAAGAAAATATGCCAATCTTATACGAGATTGGCCCCCTCAGGACAAGTTGAAGCATTCTACAATGTTCTCCCAGGGTATCAAATAAGCTCTGTTGTTATGAAAATCTTTTTCATTGCACGTGCAGTGAACTATCAAATATTTTTGCCATGTTTCCGCGTGCATCCTTGATAAAGTATAAATCACACTTCCAACAAGGTTTAGCAACCTTAATGATGGTGCCATTAAACTAGAGTCCCTAAATGGCATTTGTCTTGCCTAGCATGAAAATGGCAAAGGCATATTATATATAAATATGATGTCAAATCGAGCCACGACGTTACATGACTTTGATTTTCCAGGAGATTAAACATCTGCAAAGAAAGGGTTAGTTTTCTGAAATGCGAGAGCCTTCAATGCAGACAGTGTTTGCTGCAGAGCCAAAAGAAAGCGCGACCAAGAGGCAAAGCAGTACACAGGATGTAATAGACAGACAAAAACCTGGATGTAAGTGTGAAAGGAGGAAAAAACCAAAGTGATGAAAACGCCAATCAACGGTTAACATGAAACAATTTTAGTGTACAATCATTACTGATGCCAGAAAACTTTGCTTGAATTATCGCGATCATTCTTCTTTTGTCGATTTTATTCAGTGAAATTTCAACGGCATCAAAGAGAGTGTGTTAGAAGGAAGAACGCGAAGGTTACGCTTGTCGCGCGGTTCCTGTGAATCTTGCGATGGGATTTAAATACAAAGTAAAATCACAACAACACAAAACGTATGACGAGAATCTAATGAGAACGAAAATTTTCAAATAGAATTAAATAGAACGAAGTGCGAATATTTCGCCCCGGCATACAGGGCTTCAATCTTTATCAAGAGAAGTGCTCGTTAGAATAAAATGGCACCAACTGCTGATGTGGTGTTTCACACCATCACGTATATCGCTTCGGAAAATATTGAGAATTTTATCTAATTACAATGAAGATCTCAATCTCCCTAGAACCACTTTACATATGCCAGATTAAATAAACAATGGTTGCAATCTATATCTCGAATTATTTGTTTTATAGTTTTAATAACGGAGAGGACGATCCCTGGTTTGTACCAAAAAGATTATGTTCATCCCCCTGACGTACAATGCCTCTTACCATTCCCTAGGTCCATCTGGCATGCTTTTGCGAGTTTGTAAGCTGCTTATAAAGAATTACAACCTACCCTTTCATGTCATTTCTCTCTGTTACAATGTTTATACTTTATATTTATTTAGGTGGCCTTAATAGCAGGATCACAAGAGTTCATACTGCTTTCGTCAGCTTTAGGCCTGGTTATTTATGAAAATGTAAATAAAACACGTGCTACATAAAAAGAGGTCTGGGTCTAGTGTCCTACAAATGCTTGTATATTATATCTGGTTCAATTTACATTTGGTAGAACCGCTCGTTGAAAAAAGTACAGCCACATTTCATCGATAAAATTTTTTTTTGTTTCATTAAATTTCAGATCATTATAAGCTTGCCAAAAGAGCAGGCCACAACGAGCAGATGATGAAGTAAGTAAGATTTGCCAAGCAAACTTGACCAAACACGAAGTGCTTATGGTAATTTCATCTGTTAAGGCCCATCAATCATCGAAGAGGAACAAACTGGAGGGGTTTAACGAGATATTATTCTGGTGCTGAGAGCTTGTTAGATAATTCCTCACTATGTCTATAAAGAACAGTTTGTCATATTATTTGCATTCTCAGAATCTTTGTTTAGAAGTAAAAGGTGTATATTTAGTGTGTGATAGATAAAATCATAAAACAAACTATTTAAGATCATAGTTTTATTTTAACATTATTTTATTTTTATGCCTAATTTTTAACTCGTATTTTTAAAGCAGATCATAAACTTGAATCAAATAGATAGTGACGTTGCAATTGGCTTTAAGAAAGAATTTAGGTTTAAATCGATATAAATTAGGGTTTTAACGATATGAAATCTTCAGACCGTTTAAGATTATTGAAATTAACTCCTAATTATTGTTGTTTTCCGCCAAATGTGTAGTGCTGGTTGAGGTTTTTCTTGAAGTTATCCCAAATGGCCACCTTTCTAGCCCACAATTCAATTGCTAAATAAGCCTAATGGAATATCAATTGGGCAATGTTCAAGGCATCTGATCTAAGGACTTTAAATCTCGATGCGACACACGATCTTTCTGTGTATGATTTTCTTTGTTCCGTCTATACTCTAGGTAACATTTTGACTTGGAGTCTATAGGTCATATAAATATGATAATAGGAAAATTTTAGGTGATATTTAGACGCTGCTCTTTCCTTGTATCAATCAATGTGACCTTTGGATTCTAAAACTTCAAATTGCACTCGGTTTACAGATTAAATAGAAATGTCCGAAAATTCTTTCTAGCACCATGATTATTAAGTTGTTGAACTGAAAACGATTTAACCACGACTCTCACGCAGCTGCCAAGTGTTTAAAAATAAGATTAAATCTGGTACATATCCATTTGGTCCCATCAAGGCTTTTACCAATTTCGGAGAGTAGCAACTTTTTAGAAATGTAGATCATCTTCTAAAGCAAAGAAATGACTGACCAACTGGATTTTTAAGGTGCAAACTGAAAACTGAGGTTTCTAATTTTTCCAAAGTACAAAGGTTTTCACTTGAATATGAATCAAATAAAACAATCATGTTGAAGATAAACTCTGTCAGAAATATTCTCATATGTTACATATTTTGTGTTTTATTAGTGATAAACCATCTGAAAATGAAAAAAAACGTGTTTAATAAAGCCTCCTTTAATCGGTGGCTATTCCTTATAATCATCGTTGTAACTGGAGTGAAATTGGCATTATTGATGTTATTGCCAGTCACTTAATGAAAGCTTCGACTGTTTGAAGTAACGGTATACAAAAAAAGATCTAATTAAAGAAGCTTTGTCTTAGCCTAAATGAATGCCTTTTTCTATTCTATCTAAAGAAGAAATCTTTGCCAGGCAATGCTATTGTTACAAACAGATTCTGAGCAGCTTTTTCCTCTGTAGCATTTTAATTAAATTTACATTTCTAAACTATCCTTGTAGAAATTTTCAGCCAAAAATAACCATGTTTAATATTGTTTTAAGAAATTATCATTTCTATTTGTTGATCATGATATTTGCTATTTAGTTTATATTTCGTCTTCTCATTGTCATTGAACCTCGTGAATACAAAAGCTTTTATCTGCAGAAAGCTGGCTGCTCACTTAGATTCTGGTTTCTAGATGCATGTCCTGATGAAGATTGAAATTATGCTACCTTTTATTTTTAATGAAAATAAATGAATTACTGTAAATCAGAATGACTGTCACAAAAATTGACCTGTGGGGGAGGGGGGGCTAAGAATCAAAGTTTTGTGACATAGGAGGACCGCACCATGGCTAAGAATAGTTTGAAATTAGGCCTTCTAGAATGGCTAAAATGGCATCTGCAAGACAAATTAAACAAAATTACTATACGCTCAGAAACTATACAATTGAGGTTTCTCTAGAAAAACATTGATAATTTTTTTAGGAATAATTTTTTGGGAGGCCGATGAGTCATGCTATAACTCTCAGTGAAAGACATTGAGGGGAAAAGAGAGGAAGGGTGACCTTTTGTTACAGTGGGGCACACCAATGTGAGATATCAAGAAGCTGTTGTATTGATTAGAGATTTTACTTTCTAACAGGCACGTGCATCTTCTTTGCCTCGATTATTTTCAGTAGGCCTATATGTTACGACATCCAAAAATGCACACATTGCAATGATAAGGAAATTATCTAACTGAATTCATTTAAATAATTGAACATAATAACAAATGAGTTAGTGAATAGATCAAAATTAAATTCAAAGCAGTAGATGATATGGTTCCTTATTTCATTTCAGTACATGTTAAAAAAATGATGAGAAAAATACGGTTTTGTCTTTGAAACAGCTTCAGCTACCCTCTTCCAGCCCCCAGTGGTGCCCCCTGCCTAGTAAATGAATGTTTCCTAATATTTGTAATGATCACTTGAAATTAAAAGTCGTAGTACAAGCAGATAGGACTGTTCATTGACAGTTTGCGTGACAGATTCCAATTTCTTTTTGAATTTGTAAATTAGAAACTAGAGATTAATTTGTATTCGGAATTAAGTAAGGATTGCAAACTAAAACAAAACTAAGAGCCGCAAACTTATGGGCTCTCAGCAGAAAACGATTTTTCTATATACCCTTCTTCCTTGACGCTGGTATCCCTACAACAGGTATGAACTACGAGTTCAAGGGGCCCCCAAAACTTTATGCGTAAATGGAAAAGTCTGTCGATTAAAATTCTATATTTTTTTCTTTAATTTTTCCTTATGATCATAATGTGAGCCTCAAACTTGTTGTATCGTTTGAGGAATCTTTGGAGGA